AAGACCTTTTGAGAATTTTTCTGAGTAAGGGGGTAGGTTATAAAAAGGGAAGGTGTTAGCATCCTTTTCATCCGTAGTTATCTACGGGCTATTAATCACTAGCTAACTTTTGAAAATGCTTTGTGAATGTGTAAGTTTGAACATATTTTGAAAAATTCCTAAATACAACAAAACTTTGCAATGATTCTTGTATTATTGAGAACGCATACAAAGTGTTTGTTTTTGAAAATATTTCAGAAAAAGTGTTTGTGTGAAAAAAGATGTTTGTTTTGAAATTTTGTTGTGAGCAAGCGACTAAGAGATATCTACCTACTCAAAAGGTCTTTGTTATTTTCCTCCTCCTTTAGATAGTGCTACCCTACCATTAGTTAGTAGGAATCCCTATCATTGGATGTGAAGGGACGGACGCGGGTCATCGTACAGTCATAAAAGAAACTTGTAGGAAACTTTAGCAATTATCGTAAGGGACTAAGATCATTTTACCGAGGCAACATCGAGGGACTCTGATATTTTAACCAAGGGTATTTTGCTAAAGCATCTCACATTCGAGAAATATGACTGCTTTAAGTGCAGTCATCCTAGAGGTGCGTCTGTGCAAAGTAATTTGTTTCAGTTATTTTTATCTTGGATTTATGGTTGTCTAGCATTTACTTTTAGTCTTTGCCATACAATCTTATTAAACTAACAGTTATATATATATATATATATATATATATATATATATATATATATATATATATATATATATATATATATATATATATATATATATATATATATATATATATATATATATATATATATATATATATATAAGTGCAGAAAGTAAAAGTGCGAGAAATAAAGTCTACGCTATTACAATGCTTCGGGGATGGGGAGTATAAACCATAAAAATTGGGGAAGAAAGCAATAAACCCTAATTATCTATTACAGACCATTAGCAGTTACAATATTGGAAAATACTAATGCGAAAGTAAAGTGCGTGAAAATGGTGAAAAGGAAAAGATATCTAAAACCTAAAAAATTCTAAACATTTAGGTACCAACTGATAGTCTGGAAAGGTGAAACAGTGATGAGCCGGGTCAAAGAATTGGATTAGAACACTCATCATGTCTTCTTCAAAACCTGATGTAACAAAGTTGAGTAGATGACGATGCTTTTTGGTGAATTGTGAGCTTTCATGAACCTTTGAGACTAACTCCTTAAGTTGAGAAGGTATCCTATGAAGTTGATCCGTATAGTGTTTCTACGAGCGGAGGCCATAACCTACAACAAAGAAACAAAGATAAATTCCTAGGTCCTTGAAATGGTTAGTGAAAAATGGTGATGTTATGATGTCATGATGTTATGTTCGAACATATAAACAAACACAGACAAAGCACACAACGCCTTAGGTTCAAACTTACATGGAGTTTTTAGGTAAGTACCCTCTTGAGGTTTTAGTTGGCTCAACTTGTCCTAAGCAAAGTAATTGGGTTCTAGGAATCTCAATATCACTGATATTTCTCCCAGACATTGTTTCAGCTCAAGCATCTAATTTGCATCCGAAGTATCTCGAGAGTCCGATCTTAATGAGTGTAGCATCGAGTATCAACCAACTTTAGTCTGCACCAAAGTCAGTCATCTCACTACTTTCTAATGGCTAAGTTATGTTAACTAAGGTTCTAAGGTCAGTTAGTACTTATAACACCATGCGGTAGCCGAACATTCTCCTTGACTGACTCAAGGGACACCAGCACAAACCAATGTGTCGCACTAAGGTAGCTATCAACCATATTTGTCTACGATGTACAATTTCCATTATCTATTGCTACTTACCTAAAATGCCCCAGATCCGGGTATAGGATCTAAACCCAAATAACCCTTTAAAAGTAAAGCAAGCAAGTTAAACATTGAAAGCATTTACATGTGAACTATCTCTAAATTTACCCCACTTTTAATTGTCCCCAGCAGAGTCGCCAATTCAATAATACGGTGGGAGAACTGACTTTTGGGTTTTGTGTTATATCACAAATGTTGCGGATAGCAAGAGTCACCATTGACTTTTATTGTATCCAATAAAGGAAAGGGTGAAAAGAACATGAAAGACCTTTTGAGAATTTTTCTGAGTAAGGGGGTAGGTTATAAAAAGGGAAGGTGTTAGCATCCTTTTCATCCGTAATTATCTACGGGCTATTAATCACTAGCTAACTTTTGCAAATGCTTTGTGAATGTGTAAGTTTGAACATATTTTGAAAAATTCCTAAATACAAGAAAACTTTGCAATGATTCTTGCATTATTGAGAACGCATACAAAGTGTTTGTTTTTGAAAATATTTCAGAAAAAGTGTTTGTGTGAAAAAAGATGTTTGTTTTGAAATTTTGTTGTGAGCAAGCGACTAAGAGATATCTACCTACTCAAAAGGTCTTTGTTATTTTCCTCCTCCTTTAGATAGTGCTACCCTGCCATTAGTTAGTAGGAATCCCTATCATTGGATGTGAAGGGACGAACGCGGGTCATCGTACAGTCATAAAAGAAACTTGTAGGAAACTTTAGCAATTATCGTAAAGGACTAAGATCATTTTACCGAGGCAACATCGAGGGACTCTGATATTTTAACCAAGGGTATTTTGCTAAAGCATCTCACATTCGAGAAATATGACTGCTTTAAGTGCAGTCATCCTAGAGGTGCGTCTGTGCAAAGTAATTTGTTTCAGTTATTTTTATCTTGGATTTATGGTTGTCTAGCATTTACTTTTAGTCTTTGCCATACAATCTTATTAAACTAACAGTTATATATATATATATATATATATATATATATATATATATATATATATATATATATATATATATATATATATATATATATATATATATATATATATATATATATATATATATATAAGTGCAGAAAGTAAAAGTGCGAGAAATAAAGTCTACGCTATTACAATGCTTCGGGGATGGGGAGTATAAACCATAAAAATTGGGGAGGAAAGCAATAAACCCTAATTATCTATTACAGGCCATTAGCAGTTACAATATTGAAAAATACTAATGCGAAAGTAAAGTGCGCGAAAATGGTGAAAAGGAAAAGACATCTAAAACCTAAAAAATTCTAAACATTTAGAAAATATTTTTGATGTTTTGTTTAAAAAAATATTTTATAGTGTAAACCCTAATTCTAATTAATTTATAAACTAATTAATACAATAAAACAAAGTGTAATTAAATTAAATTAATTTTTATTTATAAAAGTTAAATTAATTGATTAAAACCTAAATCTATTTTTATATGATTTTTATGATTTTTCTGATTTAAATAAAATGGTTAAAAAAGGGAAAATAGTTAATTAAAACAAAAAAAAGAAAATCAAATGGGCCTGTTGAAAATAAATAAATTAGGGGTATGAAAAGAAGAAAAAAAGTGTTAGGCCCAAAACAAAGAGCCCAGGCGCCTGTGATGATTCCCTGTGATTGACTTCAGGAGGTGCATCATGGTCATGGTTGTCTTGGAGCGCTGGATCTAGAATCCTGAGATCTGATGGTCAAGATATGAGGTACACCATGCACGCGTTAGACTTCCTTGTACTGGATCTGTAAAGAAAACATGGAAAAATAATATGCCAGGGGCAGGGATCGAACCCATGCTCTGGCACACTAACACCTTAACACACACACTCTTAACACTGGGGCGGTCACTACATCCGATATTATGAATCAAACGAAACAAATATAATATAAAATAAGGGCTAATGTCAACAAGCAAAAAACACACGCGCAAAAGTGGGCCCCTGGGATTTGAATGGACCAACCATGATGCTTCATCGTGCCACACAATCATTCAAGGTTTTCAAACAACCGTTCATGGTGGTTTCCACCATCTTCTCCAATGAGGAGATTTTTGGAACCTATAAAATACGCAAAATCAAAGCAAGCAATGTATATTATTTCCCTTAAAATTTCCTCCTGAATTCAAATATGGAATTCATTTAGGCTAAAAGTCCTGATATCATGAAACCTGAAGCTTCAAAAGCTCCATGCCCTAACTATGGTGTGATGTTATTTCTAATGTTATTTCAGCATCATGACTCACATGTAAAACATTGGCATGGTTCAGAAAATATATGTGAATTAATAAGGCATGTTAATAATGATTTAAACCGTTATAATCCTTGAGAAGGAAATTCAAGATCCCAAAAAGGTCATGTTCGACAATAAAACCAGGCTGCTACATGAACCAGCCCTGCACTTGTTAAGTAAATCTGAGACTGAAGAAAAAGTCAGAAAAAAGATCCAAACACAAGTTGCACTACATAATTAAATCGGAAGAAAATATCAAAACATGAAATCAAAATATCACAATTACAGCTCAGCAAATTAACAAACTTCCATAGCAAGCCTCAAAATCAGAAACAATCTCATCCATTTATGCTATAACAAACTTTCAGATCAACAACACAGATTAAGTTTCACGTAACAAACTTTCTAAGTTCTAACAGAAATATAAAAAGATCAATCACCTTGCATCGTTCTTCATTCTTCAATTTCCAGAAGAATCACGAAGAACTCTCTTTTCTCCTATCATCTTCATCATTCTGGAATTCACGGGAGAATCACAAAAGGATAAGCTTCAAACTCTCTCTGAAAATTCTTAAAGTTTCACTGCATTACCTTCATCTATTTCTTTTCGCCTCCATCCTCTTCTCTGAAACTCTATTGTTGAATGCTTCATCGCTTTCTGAATCAACAACCTTTATCAGCATCACCCAGGTCTTCTTTAATCTCCATCAACGTTTCAATCTTCAATAGGAAGCACCAACGCGGAAAAATTCGTACAAATCAGAAAATAAAAAGGAAGGAGTTCTCAGAATGCAAACGAGAAGAAGAAGTAGAAGAAGCATAATAATGGAAATTACCTGAATCTCTTGATTTCATGCAACATCGACATCAACGCCGGAGCATCTCCGACTGGACATGTTACGACTTTTGTTTCCTAATTTCTGTTTTGCCTTTTGATGTTATGACATTGAGCTCAAGGCAAATCGAGCGAATGAATGGAGGTGAATTGATACGAATCGGAGGAAGGTTGAAATAGAGCTCGATATGATTGAACGAATATGGTGATGAAGCGAGCGCCGTCGCATGAGAGAGAAGAAGGGAGAGCGTTCAATTATTTTTGTTTCACTGAATATGAACCCTAATTCCTCTTTTCATTTGTTTCTATTTTTTTAATAATAATAATAATATAATTTGAAATAAAAAATGAAGAAACAGGTTTTTATTATGGAAATATGAATTGAACCGGGCCTCATTTATTCGTTCTAAGCTCGCGATGTTTTTTTCAGCTTGAAGCAATTAAAAATGAGAGAACATTGTTGAACAAGTGTTGGTGGTTGGGCCGAATATTGAGGCTTGTATTCGTTTTTTTGTGCATAATAATATTTCCTAAAAGAAAGAGCTATTAGACTCAACTGCATGAGCCTAGCATCCAGAATGCTACAATACCACTTGTTTTTAGGCTGACACCCCCCTGTGTAGTTTGTTTTTAGTTTTCTTTAGCTTTTTCTTTTCATAATTGTTAGATGACATTTTTGTTAATAACAAATATTGATGTAGCAAAAAACATTAATAAAAATGTTAGATTTTAGGAGACTTTTTTTAGGAATTAATTCATGATTATCCGATTATTCGAAACTTGCGATTCACCTTTTCTTGTTGAGATTTGAGTCTTATGCAGGTTTATTGTGTGATATACATATATGCAGGAGATTTCGATTGTGATTTATTTTCACATCGATGATGCTTCGACACTTATTCTAAGTATTTGACTTCTGACTCTTTTCTTTTGTTGGTGAAGCTTTCGCGAAGATCGTTGGGTTCTTTGTTTTGATACACTTTGCTAGGGATTAATATCTGCTTGATATTTCCTCTTGTTTATCTCATTTAAGAACTTTACTGCTTTCTAGATATAATTAGAAGTAGAAACTTTACCGCTTTTCTAGATATCATGAGAAGTAGGAAATAAAGAGCGTGCGCTCGAATTCGTTGTTTAAAGTCCTGTAGCAGGCACCGCTTTCCGTGTGTTATCTGTGTTTGTTTAAAATCCTACCTTTGAAGTAGGTATTTCGCTCGTGTGTTTAAATTTGTTCCCGCATTATATTGCAGATGATAAGTCCTCAAAAGGAGGCAAGCGGAGAGGGTTCATAATGAACCCCCTCACATTCTAGTATGTGTCATCTTTAGCTCACGTTGTACGTCGATGCTTTGGAGTCATGCAGATCATGTGTATCGATTCGGTCATGTGGAGAATGATTTGCAACCAACGCCCACACTTTTCAGGATTTTGCAATGGCCATTGCTGATACTTCGCTACCCACTTGTTTGCTTCAGGTGATTCGCTCCCCTTAGCTAAAGCATTTCTTTTGTTTTTTATTTCATCTGTCTTTCGCTTGTTTGCTTCGGGTGATTCACTCCCCTTAGCTAAAGCATTTATCTTCATACCCCCATCCCCGAGTCAGAATACCCCGATTGTGTGCTTTTGCCAAAGCACTTGTTTGCTTATTTGTTTGCTATACCATGCTTCCCTTAGGATCGCTCGATTAGAGTAGCTTTCGAGATAGAGATTAGGATAGGTATCCATGCATGTTGTTATACCCAAAAAAATTCTCTCTCTTTTCTCAAGACATTTCTCACAAAAGATCTCAAATGCTCAAAGGATTCTCAAGATTTGATCAGACAAGCTCACCTCCTAAGCAATGAGACCACAAATTAGGGTTTTGGTTTTCATAAGGAAATTTGGACTTATAATGCCTCAAATGACTTTTATGGTTCATTATAGGTCTCCAAGAATGCTCATACCAAGTTTTGAGTCTTGCATCTCAAAATTGCACAATCAATTGCTCAGATGACTGAAAATCAGTTGTATTGGGTAAAATGTCAATTGTAGTCAACATACAGCCAAACTTTAAGATTTTTTACCAACATCAACATTTTGAAGTCATATTCATCAATTGACCAAGTTTTGATCACAATTCCTCCAGGAAAGCATCAAATCATCAAAGGGACAAAATTGTAAAAATTAGGGTTTTGATTGAGAATGATTGATCATTGACTATTAACCTAGTACATTACCTAATGACTTGAAGCATGATCTTAAAGATTTTAGCAGAATATCTTGACCTAATTTCATGGCTTAAATCATTTCTCAAGATTAAATGATTGACATTTGGTATTTGGATCAACTGATGAAAAGTCAATTGTCGCACAAAAGTCAAACTTTGACTTTTTGGTCAACATTTAATTTCAAAGATCAAAATTCATAAATACATTCAAAAATATCAACCTTGATTATCAAGAATCAAGAAAGTCAATAAAAGTCAAAGGTCAAGATTTCCAAGACTTAGAAAATTCTAAGTGTTTTTAACCTTGATAATTTCACTACTTCACGATAACCAAGACGCAAGATGATTCAAGGAAAACTTTCAACATGAAAGTTGTAGATATTAATGAATTATACAAATTTGTATTAAATGTTTGATGTCCAAAAATTGCTTGGATTAGGAGATATAGGCCCATGAAATCATGACATTTTTAACAAAACACTTAGTGAAATTTTCAACAAGTTTGGTCAGATTTTCGTCCCAACTTCTTGGAAATTTTTCACCAAGTTCCAAGTTGATTTGGCCAAAGTGGTCAACATGAAGGTTGTAGATAATGTTTCACGCTTTCCAAAATGTCCAAGAACTTGAAGAGATCATGTTGGATCTAGGAGAATCAAAGAGAAGAAGTTGAGCATTCATTCTTGAATTATAGGTCATTTTCATGAAGAACACATGATCCAATCTCAAACCTATGTTGCATAATCTTGCTTTGCAGGCTCTCTAACTTGAAAGTCACTCCATAATTAAATTTTTACACAACTAATTGAGCTATTATCCAATTGTTTGAGCCATTGTCCAAGTGATCATTCCATTAATGGAACAAAGTTCACACTTCCATTTTGGAAAAGTAACTTTAATCACAAAGTCCACTCTCCTTGAGCCTCCCACGTGTTCCTTCTGCATACATACAATGTCAAAGCCATAAGAAACATGTCTAGAACCTCTATCCATCTCAGATCCTTTGGTACTATGCATTGGAACAATGTTATTTCAAATTGCTTCAAAACCAAGTTTCAAAACCATAACATGTGATATCTGATTTCTGGTTACTCTAAGTCCTCAAACCTTTTCTCTATAAATAGAGAGATCATTTTTAAGCCATAGAACGAGTTCCCAAGCCTTCTAACCCCCTCAAACTCCCTCAGATCAGAACCTGCATCAAAAACTCCATTTTGTAGCAACTTCTGACCTTGTACTTCAAACTCACATTTCACTCGTGTGTTTTCACTCTAAATTTATCACAACGCATCCATAACTCATTTAGAACTTATCCAAACACTTGATACACAATTGTAATACCACTTGCACCATCCTCCATTTCCAAAACTCAACTCTGCAACTTGACTTCTCTAGAAGGATTCAGACACTTTCAGCATAAAGTAAGCATTGCAATAGCTTCCTAAGAGTTCAGTGAAGCTATCCAGATCATCACCACACCTCCAGGAGTGCTCAAACTCCAAACACAATTTCCAGTTTTGAGGTACGTTTTCTCAACTTTTAACTTCCTATACAAGCATCATTAATGGTTACTTTGTAAATAAAAAATGTAGACATCATTGCTCGGAAGCTAACCATGCCTTTATTTTTCATTTATATTTCCTGAGTGATGCACATTTTGAAGTTTAAGTTCCAGATAAAATTAGGTTAATTTTGGTACCAACAGAAATTCGTGCACATCTTTGATTTATAGCTTTAGTTTTTTACATGGTTGAATTCATGATGAAATTTGGAGCAACTTTCATGTTTACATTTTTTAAAATGGCTGACAAATGAAGAAGTTATAGATTTAGCAATGGAGTTGTTCATCTCTACGCGCGCAAGGAAGAAGATGAAGCCATTTCAAATTTTAGAAATGAGTTTATTTTAAGTTTAGTGCAACCTGTGTTATGATCGGATGAAACAGCCACCCCAGTGGCAGAGAAGCGCGCTCTAAGGCATTTGTGTATAGGGACCTGGGTTCAAGCCCCAGCGATACCCTTTTGACATTTTTTGTGATTTTTCCTTGTTTCCTTTTATTTCAGCGCTTGGGCCTCTCTGACATTGGGCCTCTTTATTTTTTATTTTTGCTATTTTCTCACCCCCCCCCACTTTATTGTTCAGCACAGACTCATATCTTCTTTTTATTTTATTTCTGATTGAAACAAAAAAAATTATTTGGGCCTTTTTGCTACTTTTCACCTCCTAATTGTGACAATTTGACAATGATAAATGAAACTTATGATTTGAGACAAAGGTAGAGATCTTCGAATTTGAGCAGACATGAGTACTACGTCATTTAGGCGAAGGAAGAAAGAGAATGAGGAGTTCATTGAGTGAGATAAGAGATGAGATGACATTGAGCTTAAGGCAAATCGAGCGAGTGAATGGAGGTGAATTGAGACGAATCGGAGGAAGGTTCAAATAGAGCTCGATATGATTAAACGAATATGGTGATGAAGCGAGCACCGTCGCATGAGAGAGAAGAAGGGAGAGCGTTCAATTTTTTTGTTTCACTGAATATGAACCCAAATTCCTCTTTTTATTTGTTTCTATTTTTTTAATAATAATAATTATATAATTTTAAATGAAAAATGACGAAATAGGTTTTTATTATGGAAATATGAATTGGACCGGGCCTATTTATTTGTTCTAGGCCCGCGATGTTTTTTTCAGCCTGAAGCAATTAAAAATGAGAGAACATTGTTGAACAAGTGTTGGTGGTTGGGCCGAATCTTGAGGCTTGTATTCATTTTTTGTGCCTAATAATATTTCCTAAAAAAAGAGCTCTTAGACTCAACTGCATGGGCCTAGCATCCAGAATGCTACAATACCAATTGTTTTCAGGATGACACCCCCCTGTGTAGTTTGTTTTTAGTTTTCTTTAGCTTTTTATTTTCATAATTGTTAGATGACATTTTTGTTAATAAGAAATATTGATGTAACAAAAAAAATTAATAAAAAATGTTAGATTTTAGGAGACTTTTTTTAGGAATTAATTTATGATTATCCGATTATTCGAAACTTGCGATTCACCTTTTCTTCTTGAGATTTGAGTCT